AAACATAATTATCGTCTATCAAACAATTATTTTGAAACATGAAAATGGCAAAAAATAAAAATAAAATGCATTTCGCGCCATTTCTTGAAGTCAAAATTTTTGAAACATGATTCATGAAAGTAATTGTAGGCATAGCACTATAATTCACTTCATAATCAACAAGTATAACCAAGTGAGCAAGCAAGAAACAGCAGATTCGAACCAAAATAATTAAAAAAAAATAAAAAATACAAAGAACGAATTTGAAGAAAGACATGCTCATACAAGGTTAAATACTTAACCATTTTTCATAAAATTTGTTGCAAAACACTCCTTAAACATAGCATAACAACACGGAACAAACAATTTCAAGAATAGTGGACCAAATCAAAACCCCCTAAATTCAAAATTTAGGGTTCTTCGGTTCGAGCTTTCCCAATTTTGGCCAAAAAAATGAGTTAAAACAACCAAATACTTACATTGGATTTTGGAAAATATGAATAGGAGACGAGATCTACTTCCTTTAGCTTCGAAAAGTGACGAAAATCGAGCTTTGTAGAGAGAGAATGAGTCTAAAATGGCGAAGGAAGAAGAAGAAAGAGCGAAATGAAAATCGCGCCTAGCGATTTGTTTTTGCTGATTTAAATGTCGCGTGCAACTCTATAAGTTGCGCGTGACAGCCCAACGCAACTCAAAAACATGTGCGCGCTTGGCCAGCACGACCCACTGAGTTACGCGCAGATATTGGTCACTTAAAAGACTGGTACTTGGATTTTGATCCGTTTTGGATTTTTTCTAATGGTTTTGTGCGTTGTTGTTATGCATTTGTGCCGTGCTTTGTAGTTGTTATAACGCGCGAATCATCAAAATAATACCAAGTCGAATGCCACCCAATACTTGGGGGCTACGACATCTGCAATTGAACTCAGTAAATGGGAGCTTAAACACCCACAAGGCCAACCTATACCAGTTCAACTAACAATTCTAAAGATTATTTCTATAAATCTTGGGAATTAACTGTTTATAGATGAATAAAACATAATTATCGTCTATCAAACAATTATTTTGAAACATGAAAATGGCAAAAAATAAAAATAAAATGCATTTCGCGCCAATTCTTGAAGTCAAAATTTTTGAAACATGATTCATGAAAGTAATTGTAGGCATAGCACTATAATTCACTTCATAATCAACAAGTATAACCAAGTGAGCAAGCAAGAAACAGCAGATTCGAACCAAAATAATTAAAAAAAAAATAAAAAATACAAAGAACGAATTTGAAGAAAGACATGCTCATACAAGGTTCAATACTTAACCATTTTTCATAAAATTTGTTGCAAAACACTCCTTAAACATAGCATAACAACACGGAACAAACAATTTCAAGAATAGTGGACCAAATCAAAACCCCCTAAATTCAAAATTTAGGGTTCTTCGGTTCGAGCTTTCCCAATTTTGGCCAAAAAAATGAGTTAAAACAACCAAATACTTACATTGGATTTTGGAAAATATGAATAGGAGACGAGATCTACTTCCTTTAGCTTCGAAAAGTGACGAAAATCGAGCTTTGTAGAGAGAGAATGAGTCTAAAATGGCGAAGGAAGAAGAAGAAAGAGCGAAATGAAAATCGCGCCTAGCGATTTGTTTTTGCTGATTTAAATGTCGCGTGCAACTCTATAAGTTGCGCGTGACAGCCCAACGCAACTCAAAAACTTGTGCGCGCTTGGCAAGCACGACCCACTGAGTTACGCGCAGATATTGGTCACTTAAAAGACTGGTACTTGGATTTTGATCCGTTTTGGATTTTTTCTAATGGTTTTGTGCGTTGTTGTTATGCATTTGTGCCGTGCTTTGTAGTTGTTATAACGCGCGAATCATCAAAATTCTTTTAAGTTGCTTTGCATTTTGTAGTTTATTTTCTTTTTTGATAGTTTTTTGCATCATCCTGCATGCACATCGTGCTTTGTGCCTGCCCTAAGCATATGTTTTGGATGTTTTTCGTAAAGCGTCTTAAAATATCCCGTAGTGGTGCTTTACGTAAGAGCTCCCATAGACAGTTTGGCATTTTCTTGTACTTGCTTTTTAGAAATGTCACGTTTTTGGTATTTTTGGCGTACATAACAAAAATACAGCGTAAAATTGTATGGCGTAAGTGCTGCGTAAAATTGCACTAGCAACGTGATCTAGCTGCCTCCCGTTCGAAAATGGTAGAACTTCTGTTACTGTCATCAGGCGTTAGCTTACTAGTCGACAGGCGCGTCGAACCATCGGGGTCAGACGCCCTCCGTTGGAAGCAAATACTAAGGGAAACAACCAAAAACAAAGAGGACAAAAGCCAAACAACAAAACAACAACAAAACAAAATTACGTGAAAAATTACAATAAACATCATATACAAGGAAGAAAATCATCAAAACAACAAAAACTAGAGATAATTCAAGTAAACAAAGAACAATAATTGTGAAAACGCAAAAAATTAGGGTTTCAAAAGTACCTGGATCATCAACGACTGAACATGTAGAAACTCCTTTCTTTCCCGTACAAACGACCTTCTTGATTTTACCAATTTTGACAATTGAGATGAAAAAAGCAGATAATTTAGAGGAGAGAGAACATAATTTAGAGAGAGAAAGAAAGAAATTGTAGAAGAAAATTAAAGAAAGAAGTGACAAGAGAGAGAATTGCAGAGGGGAAATAAAAGGATGAAGTGACATAATTAATGGCGGTTTGGGAAAAGAGGAAGGAAACTAAAAAGCGTAGTTTGCGAAATTCAAATCAAACGATTGTTTGAAAATAACGGAAAAACGGGAGAGAAAAGGGGTCCGTTATTTTTTTGGGCCTTAAAGAAGGTTGGGCCCTTTTCGTATAACAGGCCGCACGTGCAGCAGACCGTATAAGAAAATTTGTGGTACAATTATGCCTAGCCTGGAATTATACAATTATATATTCAATGATCAACTGAGAATACCTAATACTCCCTAAAAAGAATTAGATAATTAAACATTTTTATAATAATTAATTTAAACTGTGCACACAGAATCTAAGCTCATTGATAAATGGTCAAAATCAAAGTAGCAAGATTTTAGGCTAGGATCGGAGTTGAAAAGTCCATGATTGAAGTTGAATATATAGTAGCTTAGACTTTATTGAATGGGTAACTTTAATTCCTTGTTTGACAATATGTTTTTATATAACATGTTATGAATAACTTTAATACCTTGTTTGGCAATAGTATCTTTTTGAATAGCTAAAATAAATTCCCAATAACAAGAACTTTAAGTTCAAATTATTCGATTATTGCTTTAGGTTATTTGCAAAATTTTATTGCATGTTCTTTTCATTATTGCTTTAGGTTTTTTTTTTTTTCTATTGACCTTAAATATACTTTAATATAATAAAATATTTGCAAAAAAATATATAAAGTTGTTATTATGATGCTTATGTAAATACCTATCAAATAATATACGGAGTATTTATTTCATGATAAAATTTGATTTTGCAATTGATAAGCTACGACTAAAAACCATGGTTAAAAATAGTATAGTAAAAAAGAAGTCAAACGATTCAATTATACTAGGATGAAGGAAGTACGTAAGTATTATTTTGTACTATATTTATCATGAATTACTAGGTTAACTTTTCTTGGAACAATATGTTACTTTTGGGTGCATGATAAACATGATTGTGAATTTAAACAGGTCAAAGTTTATCTCATAACCATGTCAACAACATACGAATGCAGTATATTGAGGTTTATAGTAATTGGCTCTGATATATTTTATGTCATTCTTCAATACTATGCATGTCGTCTTTGTGCAAAAAGACTTGCATGGACCTGGTCTACAATAATATTATTGTGGACCCGAGGTCTATACACACGCAACTGACTTTATATTGAACATAATGACCATTATTTTAAACATAGTAACCTTATATTTAACCTAGTAACCTTTATTAAAACTAATACAATGTTTAATAATATTATGAACTTGAAATACGACGCTATTACCCTAATTTTAACCTAGTGGCTTTTATTATTCATATTGATCAATATATAAAATATTTCATTACAAAAATAACCACTTAGGCCTATATATTACCAAAATGATTTTTATTTCAATATAGTGACTTTTTTTTAATTATAGTGACCTTTTTTTTTATTAATAAAACAACCATACTTTCTCTAATGTTAGTGGTCCACAATAAATTAGTGTGAACCAGGTCCATTTAAGAATTTGTAGTCTTTGTGTATGACAACTATAAGAGATTTGTTCACGACTTAACATTAATATCCTTACTAATTGTAAACATCATTGCTATTGTAATACAAGTATAATATTGTACAAAATCACAAAAAAAATTATAATAGTATATGTTTCTACATCACTCATTTTTTATTAATTCATAATTATAAATAAAAAAAAAATCAATTTTTCTACTTAATTTTTAAACTATATATATGTACGTACATACTACAAGTACATAGTTTTACAGAGCGGTATACAAAAGGACCATTGCTTCTCTCTCATTATTACGGAATAATCACTAGGCACATGCGCTTTCTAATAATTCTATTAGTAACTTATACTCTTTACTTTGCATAGAAATTAGGATCAAAGGATGTATAGTGTATTATTAACACTGCTAGGATATCTTTATCAATCACCCCAATTATAACATTACCAAAAGATAAATATATTAATGCATTTATTGCAGTTGTCTAAATTAAGTTTGTAGTCATAGTGAAAATAACTACGGGTATATTGTAGCAAAACTTCTAATCATACAAAGCGACATACCTACAGGTCGGACATATATATGTGCATAATATTACCTCTTTTAATTTACTACAACCTTCTGTCAATATGTAACTAACGTCTCATGATAGACAGATTACATGTAACAAAATTAGATATTAAATTACTCGAGATGATCGATTTAACAATAAAGGATCGAAACTTGTAGTACACTAAATTAATTTCATCATGCATTTTCAGACAAAAAGAAAAGGTCAATCAGCTATATAATTAAGTAGCAAGCTGCTACTAGCAACTATAGAAGCCGAGTAAGGCCAACGTACAACATAGAAAACATTACAATATCTTAACACACACTTTTTCTCCGAGTAATTAGGAGATTGATAACACAACACATACGAAGTAGAAAATACTGAATTTCCTAAGAATTGTAAGAATCCTCAAGATAAACTTAATCTAATTAAGAGATAGGTGGACAATTGAAACCAGATGGAGGATTTAATCCGCATGTTGCAAGAACAGTGAGAGCTAGCGGAATGTATATGTTCAAGTTGAGAAGCTTTAGCCTTATTGCTGTGCATAGACATAATGCTGCCTCTAAATCTAGCAAACCTTGTAAAACTGGACAGCACATATTCTTCACTGGGTCTCCTAATCCAATATGCACCAAACCTCCTAGAACGTCCAAGCATAGCCCTAGTTTTAATGCATCTATTGGACATGTTTTTGGAATTATCCCTGGGCTACCACCACCAGGTGGACCATATCCTCCTCCACCTGTTCCTGGTGGGGTCCCACCACCACCATGTCCAGGAGGGGATTTACCACCTCCGCCACCTTTTCCAGGAGGAGATCCACCACCACCTCCTCCTTTTCCAGGTGGAGCATAACCTCCCCCTCCATGACTACCACCACCTCCACCTTTACCAGGAGTTCCAGGTGTACCAGGAGGGCCGGGCATTCCAGGAGACCCAGGAGCACCTGGAGGACATGGAACAGACGGGGGAGTGATTATCACCGGAGGAGGTGTAACAACAGGAGGAGTTGGAATGATGATCGGTGGCATGATTATGGGTGGTACGACCACGGGTGGTGATACCTTAGGCCCACCACCACCACTTCCTCCATGATGTGGTGGTTTCTTACCACCACTTCCTCCATGATGAGGTGGTGAGCGAGGATAGGGGCTTGGACGATAAGAAGGACGTGAAGGAGTGTGGCCGGAAGGTGGGTGACTCGGCTTGTCACAATAACCACAAGCGTAAATGGGAGGCAAAGATATAAGCATGCAAAACATGTAGATAAAAAACATAGCTGTTAATTGTGCTTTCCCCATGGTTGGGGATTGTATTAAACTTTGAAGATTATCTAAAGATGGGAAGATGTATGATGGAGAATATATCTCGGGGAATATATAATATAGGTCAAATGATTTGAGGAACCCGTGACTATAAGCTCGAGATCGCATGCAGATGAGTACGTAAAAACACGTAGTAGAATAATATCCAAAAATGAACACGTATTTGAAAGTAAATTGGAAATGTCTACGAAATTTGATTATGGACAACCAAGCTAAGTTAGATCCATGGATGTACTGTACTTTGTTTTGGTATATAATCTGCAACTTTTGGAATGTTGCTTTCTTGTTTTTGCTTTGATAACTTCGATGCTCAACTTTTCAATCCGTGACTTTGGCTTTATTAATAAAACATTACAATCCGTGATAAATTATTAAAGCTTTGATTTCAGATTTGTAATTACACGAAGTTTCATGGCTTTCAACGTTTTATATACTGTAATTGTATTACTCAGCAAATATAATTTTTTTGATTGTGACAATTAGCATAATTGAGCAATATGTATGATTAATTATGATATTACACAGGCAACTTATAAAACTAGAGTTTCACACGAAACATTTGTATCACTGAACAACATATATAATTGGATGGTGCAATCCTAATAAGTACCATAACTTTTTTTTTTTTTTTTTAAAAAAAAAAATAATAAATAAGTACCATAACTAATACAACTAAAAAGATAGGGAATGAAGAGGATATTCTTAATGTTAATGCATAATTTATACATGTGTTTTGTTAAACTTTCATTATTGCGTACAGTGTCAAGGAATGATACTTTGAAAAATGAAGTTGCATTATCATAAACATTGATTTCAAAATTTTACTTAGTACAATTTATTATCATTATTTTTTTTTTAAAAAAAAACACATTCGTAATTGTTTTTGCTAAATATAACCAATGCTTGTACTGGGAAGTGGGAATAGTGAACCGAAAACTCCTACACTATTCATAGTCCTAAGTAAGCCAAAATTTCATTATACGAATAATACAGGCATGAAAGAAGAGCAAGAAGGGGACCCTCCACTCCTTTATTTTCTTTGACTAAATATTGTTGTAATATTATTCCAAGGATTAAACTCAACTTTTATAAACCATGCAAATAAAGAGATTACACCAATCAGGGAATCAATAATGAAGGTGATTAAGAACAGAATCACCGATAATCGATTAAATCAAACAACCAAGCATGCATGAATGTAAATATTAATAATTTATGACAACAACATTCTCTGGCCATCAAATTACACAAATCAAGTTAATTAAAATCAAGCTAATTAAGCTTGATGGTACGTAAATTACCAAATAATAATGCAAGCTAAGTCGTGAAATGAATAAGTTATGATGTCTTGAATCAAGGACATTGGAAGCCAGTGGGCAGATTCTTGCCACAATAGTTAAGCAACAAGCTTAGAGATAGAGGGATATCAAGATTAATGCCCAATATGTTAGCCTTAATTGCAGTGCATAGGCAAACTGCGGCCTCAAGGTCAACCAACCCTCCAATGAGAGGGCAGCATGGTGTTTTTGGTGGGGTTCCTACCACTAGGTGGATCAAGTCACCCAACACATTCGCACACACTCCCAACTTTAGGGCATCCATTGGGCACTTGGCTTGACTTGCCGGTGGCATTATTGGCGTTGTTGGTGTTGATGGACTTCCTCCTTGGTAACCTCCATGCTGGCCATCATGGTGGCCATCGTGGTGACCGCCATGGTGTCCTCCGTGCTCGCCTGATGGGGGTTTGGGTGACGGAGGGCAAGGTACGTATGTAGAGCTTACTAAAGTGATGAACACAAGGTTTAGGCATAGTAGGAGGGAAGTTGATGCTAATGCTTTTGAAGCCATCTTAGGAGATCGAAATCACTAATAAGCGAGCTTTGAAAATGTTTGTATATAATTAAGATGGCTTCTGATTGGGAGGGTTGTGGTGGGAATCAGAGAAGTTGGTTTAGGCTTTTTATAGTGAAGATTTTTGGTCAGCTTAGGAATAATTAGATTAGGTAATTAGAAGGGTTTTTTGTATTTTTATAGGGTAACCATGTGTAGAGGGTTCAATCAATGAGCAACAAGCTGGAATTCTTGATCACATTATAGTAAATACTAAGTTGTCAATTGTCATTTGGCATTTCTCTAGAAATTGTGCGCACTTCTATTAGAATATATATGGAGTATAATTTACTCGTAATTTTTTAGTACTTAATCTTTGGAATCTTGTAGCATTGTATGTTCTACGCCCACGGTTATGATTCACGTAAACAGATCTAGATGCCTCTCCGATTAGGATTGATTATAGATAATACCATTATTGATGCTGATCTATACGCTTATTGTTTAGCTATTAATAATTCTTAATTTGATCTTTGCGATGATTAAATTGTCTAGAGAATGATTTAGAGACTAACAAAAGTACTAATTTATTAGTATGTAGAGCTCGATCATTGCATATTAATATACACATGTGTGAAGTATATAATTACGAAGAGTATGGTATCAGGAGCTAAAGAGAGTGATTCAATCTTTGAATTAAACTAACTTCATTAAAAAAAAAATTGAACATTTTTTTTTTTTTTTTTTTTTTTTTTTTTTTTTTTTTTTTTATGGTAATCAACTAATCATTTAGCAAATTACACATACTATACATTGAAATATTAATCGTCTTAACAAGACAACATGCACTAGTTGATTGGCCTTGGATTAAATGTTTGCATCACATGATGTGGTATTTTATAAGTTTGTATGAATTTACTGTAGATAATTTCTATGATTTGTATGTTAACACATGCTACAAAAGATACTATAATGCAAGGATAAATCTTTTATTGGAAAATACGAATACTTAGAATCTGAAATTCAATAAGACTAGCATGGATAATAATACAAATCCCTTCATTATAATGCTATTCATATTCGTGCTTTCTGCACATTAGTATGAGTCTTAAAGAAATACTCCAATCCGTGTTTGGGTATCAATATATTTCAAGTTCAACCCATAAACAATAATGGCCCTAGCAACTTTTTTAAGCTCATTAGCACACAAGGCCCAATAATGACCATCAAGACTACCATAAACAATCACTATTAATAATTAAGGCATATATATAATGTATTAGTTTGATAAAAGCATAAAACTCTTGAAATTTGATAATTAAGTCATCAGCAAAGTTAGATCTAATTTATGTCTCTACACATGCCATTAAATTATTAAATGAGGTGGCTTCAATTACTTGATATTCTTCTTGATTCTATTTCCATATATATATTAACCAATCCATTTGTAGTTTAGTGTTTGCACATTTTCGAAAAATTGGGTCTTACTGAACTATTCAAAGGATGGGGAACATGTAGCTAGCACTGCAAACACAACAAAAGCTCAGCAAGCCGAGATAGCTAGTCAGCTTAATGGGGGAACGGCATATGACGTACAGAATATAAGCTAGCTTAGATAGATGATACACTAATTGAACGTCCATCCCATTCCAGAAACAATATACTTGTAAGACATATGTAGCTCATTTGATAAGGCGATAATATTGGTTATGAATTTATGCATGTACGGTAAGTTGATTAAAAAGTCTTAAACCATTTTCCATAGTAATGTAATAAAGTTTGCATACTATAGTAAAAAAAAAATATACGTATATAGAAATGATTGTACTGTAGTATATATTAATCTTCAATTTCTGAAATGATAACACAATATGAACTCTTGAAGATAATTTAAGATGATGAAAGCATGAGAAATCCTCAGCGTAATAATTAAATTAAACAGTATATGCATTACATTGTTATAATCACATACATCTTAGTAGCTAGTATAGCATGAGTTTACATGAATCCAGGAATTACGACAACTTTTGGGGCCTAAAATATGCAAATGGCCGAGTGTTGACTTTGACCTTTGTATGAAATTGAGCTGTATTGTGGCTGTGAGCCACGAATATAAAAGATCGGAAGAATATATGTTAAACTCAATCTCTTGTCATGATGGCCTATGCAATACCAAGTATATATTTTCAAAACTTGTACTGTTCTAAGTATTATTTATCGATCACAGTCTAATTAGTTATCTTGCTGATAACGATATGTCTTAGTAGACAAATCACAGAACAGTTCTACATTTGGCTGATTTTATAAATTATTATAACTGTCAACTTATTATTATCAATATTACATTTATCTTTTGCAAGCAACTAACGAGATTTTGATTTCCACCACAGCCACTTTCACATGTACTCTCTTTTCGGTTATTTGCCTCTCTCAATCGCCCGCACTTTTGTTTGGGGCCAACTTTCAAAATTACACTTATCAGACACCAGAGGTATGATAATTTAATGCGAGAATTTGAAGGAAGATTATAGATTTTATTTGATGGAAGAATTTCACTGATTTTAATGGTGGAAATTCGAAGGATAGTCTTAGAAGGCAACGACTTCTAAGTTTGATCTTAGGAGCAATGATCCCAAAACCCTAGTTAACAACTAGTTTGAATCTTAACAAAGTTCTCTTAAGCAAAAGCTCATAATAAATTCATAAAAACATCCTCCTAAAATAATTGACATACAACTAGTATATATAAGAAAAATAAATCTACCCTACTTGCTCCGCAAGCAAACTAAATTAAAGTCCTAATAATTAGTTAATGAACTAAGATAGCCCACTACCTAATTAGCACAACTTTGGAAGCCCAAAGCCCCATAACTACTACTAAGAAAATAATAAAAATATTATTAAAAACTCACTTATAAAACCCCTATTTACGAGTAAGGTAAAACTAAGATAGTACCTAAGTAAAGCAATAAAGATAGTTATAAGAAAGGAGACTCGATTCACATCATTCCCTGCGCTTTCTTAACCAATATAATAACTTATAAACATTGCACTTATCTATCTCCTAAAATTTATAATTACATGAGTTGATTGAACTAATTGAACACTATTTATACTATCTTCATTCTTTAATAGTATTTGTTGATCTCATTTAGAATGATTTATTTAATTTTAAGATACAAAATCTTTGAGTATGATGAGTATTGTAAAATTGATACATATAAGAAAAAATCATATAGCAATTTGAGATTTGTTTGGTTTGTCTTGATGTGTTGTTTCAAGATATTATAAAATTGCTGCTAAGTTATTGTTGATAAGTGCTAACTTTAAATATAAACATTATAAGATATTGTTAGCACTTAGCAACAAAATCAAATACTCAAATGATGAGTATTCAAGTTGATTGAAATATGATGAGTATTCATCTGCCTATTTTAGCAACAATATCTCCTAAAATATGTTTGTTTCAAGATAACAACAATATCTTTGAGTATGATAAGTATTATAAAATTGATACTTGATCATATATTGAGCTGTGTTTGTACATGAAATGGCTCCCTAAACAGAATTTCTTGCGTGCCCTTTTATTTGGAATGAAGTGAATTTTCCTTAATCATATTTTAACCTGCAGTATATAAGTATATAATACTAACTCTTTAGCAAAGTTATTAAAATCGGGATTCTATTTTGAATCGGAAGGGGCTCTCAGAATCGAATCGTAAAATCGAATCGTAGAATCGTAAGATTCTACCGACATGTAAAATCAAGACGTCATATCCAAATTTAATTAAATATATTTAAATTATGAGTTTGAAACTCAATTATTAATAGAAAATAATTGTTTACCCATTAAGCAACCAATAATAGACAATATATATTTATAAATAACTATGTAGGCCTGCTTTAAACTTTTAAGGATTCGCTAGTTAAGAGAAATATGTAAAATCGGGTAGAATCGTAAATTGAATCATATGACATATATGAATCGTAAAATCGTAAGATTTTAAGATTTAAATCAGGATTTTAATAACAATGCTCTTTAGCATGGCATTTGTCTCTTAAAATTTTTACTTCTTGATCTAATTGAAATCTATCTACTTATAATACGAGGCATAGTACAGTGTTATATTTTACTTCATGTATGTGATACTTTATATGTGAACAAATAAATTATGTATGTTATATTTTAAAATTTTACCCCTCGTTGATATAATCATCACAATTAAAAACATCAGACCAATCAGCAATCTCATAGATTGAAACCTGTGCATTACGCAATATAGCATATATATAGCTGATCAATGAACATCACAAATCCACAATATGATATATGTTACAAGTATATATCTATAGAACATCGTAAAACCATAACCGTTCACCAAAGGAGGAGAATTTATTACACTCCTTTATAATTTCTTATATATGAAACAAACATATAGTAGTACACACATATTGTAGTACATACGTAAATTTTTTTTCTAATAGAACGTTGCGCATTCAAATCGTTTTCGCATAAGATAAGGTTGCTTGACAAGCAGTTTTTATGGGCAAGTGAAACCAGAAGGGTAGTTGCAGCCACAAGCATTGAGAAGCAAGCTTAGAGAAAGAGGAACGTTGAGGTTGATGCCTAAGACATTAGCTCTAAGGGCAGTGCAAAGGCAAACCGCAGCGTCGAGATCAGCAAGGCCTTGAATAAGGCTACAACATGGCTGCTTAGGAGGGGTTCCAATAATTACCCCGAGCAAACCATTGAGCACATTGGCACATACCTTTAGTTTAAGGGTATCGATAGGGCATGTTGAATGAGGGTTTGTCGCGGAAACCAAGGAGAAAAGGAGGAGATTTAGAGAGAGAAAGAAAATGATGGTCATATTGGTGCTCTTTGAAGCCATTCTAGCTTAGCAGTTGATTTGATAAGCTAAAACAAGGAAGGAAAGAAGGATTTTACTTGTTGTGAAGATATAAATGTAAGTAGAGATGGGAGGGTATTTATACGCTCTCTAATGCATCATGATGGAATTATTTATAATTATTATTTCATAATATAAATTAAAATAAAGAAATAACACATCATATGTACTAATTTTTCAATGTTAAGGGCACACAATCCAAGATATATGTAACGTCATACAAATTCAATTTGTAAAGATGCATTGGGTTTGACTTTGAATTTCTACCATTTTTCAAGGGTGTTGCGGCTGTGGGATCTATTTTATCAAAAGCGAATAAAAAAATAAATAGATGAAAGTAAAATGATCGAGTGGATGTAGATTATGACAGAGGAGGAATTAAGATTTTATCAATATTCTTGAAATTTTAGGATTCCTTATTTTACCTATTATAATTTACTAAAGACTTAAAGAGCATTCTCACAATAATTTAGAAGTAGTTGTTAAGGTCGTGTGTTGTTTGATTTGGTCTCGTTGTACAAATTAAATTTGAAAATTACTCGTATTGTTGTTGCTTTCTTAGCAATGATAATACAAAATATGACATGAACTATCTTCATGGTAAAAGAAAGTGTAACAAACTCTCCATAAAATTATTATTTTGCTAGCTAGTATTCAAGAATATACATTAAATTAAGTGTTCTTATTCAACAATAATAATAATTACAGATTCTACTTGGATAAAACCCAATGACACACACCTTTAAACAAATTGAGACTATGCCTATTGTTGAAATTCACCCAACTAGAAGCACTAACTGATTGTGGTTGTGGGACAAGAAGGGACCAATTAGCTTAAGGTTTCATATCTCATTTGCTTTGCAAATTAGTATCCAAGGAAAATGTGCTCTATAAATTTTGTTACTTTTGAAATACTGAAATATGATGCATCCTTCATTCCTTCCCCAACATTTGATTCTCTATAAAATGGCCATAATACCCCATACCCTAGTACATTATACCGTATGGTCTACGGAGTATTATTTAGGAATGGATCGGATGAAGTAATTGTTCTTCCCTTTTAATAACTTTTACAGTAGAGTATTTATACACTTTGGTATTGAAAAGATCAAATTTCCTCCAAGGGTTAAGGGCTAAACAGTCTATATATTAGCTTTATCCAAAAAAATCCAATTCCTGCTTGCTACAACAGTGCAGCTGCATTCACATGGTCACACTCACACCGTGTTGAAAATTTTGGTCCAGAAATAAGGCCCATTTCTACGCCACTGGCCCTAGTAATGTAATATCCTCTCAGTGAGAATTCTCCAAACTACCACTTTAAGTAGTACTTCAAGCAAATTAAGCTTTAAACGTATGGAGTAGCGCCTCTTACCCTGCTTTTACAACCATAAGAGTATTAGACCTATGATCAGATCCTTGTTCCTCTACCCTAATGCCCTGACATTAGGCCGGTTATGTATGTTTACCTTATCCCCATGTTCATGGGTCTTCATCAGGAAATTTGATGAAAATGGCAGTGATGGCACATAGGGTAATACACCCAATGTCCTATAACAAGCTTATTACCATAACAGACATTCAGTCATTCATAACAGACATTCAGTCATTCATATAACTTAAATGCTGTATAGTTTCACGAGTATATGCTTACTCTGAATTTTCATCAGTAATATGTAAATAATTGTCCACTGCTATAACATGGAAAATGGATTTGTTTGGTTGTTAGGACAAGCTGTCCCCAAGAAATAGGAACTTAAGAGTATTACATATACCATTCAAAAAAATAAGTAGCATCACATTATGACATTAACAGAAAAGTTGCCAAGCATATCCATATCAATCTTTAAAACAAAAACATGTCAGACCTTTATTTTAATCATCCCAGAGCTACTGGTGGACATAAAATGTAAAATGAAGGTCATTTAGCTGAACAACATTTGTGATACAATCGTTGGAGTTGATGCATCTATGGTTCTTCACCGAGCTCTACCCTCAAGTTGTCATATGGATAAACCTTTGGAGTCTGGTCGGCACAAAAGCATTAACAATGAGCAATTAGCTAGAAATGGAAAATTTTCAAACAGTAGATAGCCTGATGTTTGAAACAAATTCATTTAACAAATATAGATCACCCTCAAACTGAGCTATATCTTTCCCATGAAATTTTTGAAAAAGCATGTATAGTTAGCACATTGCAATTCAGGTGATACCTTCATCTCCTATAAATCAATAAGGTCTGAAAACAACCTTTAGCTTCACTAAGAAAAGATAATTCACCAAGAATAACATAAAAGGGGAATCTAAATTACAAACTCAAGCACTTCAGCAACCCAGCAGATGGGTGTGACAATAGATGAGCAACACAATATAGTAGAAAAAGAGACCATCAGTGTGCCATTATCAAGTTGTTGAAACCAGCACACAAGCAAAAGTAAACAGAAAAACAACCGGAAACCAAGAATAGTAGAATAAGTACTTGTTACCACTCATGCTGCCTATGAGTTGGTCATAGTTTACAATGACCTTTACGTCACTCCAACCTAGCATATGGCAGTGAAAAAACCCCCTGCAGTTTCACAATGGCTTAAAAGTCATACTATAAGGTAAGGCCTTGTTCTTTTGAGCTGAGCTGAGCTGAACCTAAACAGGAAAATAAGACCAAAATAACAGGTCCTTTAAGCCTCATCTAGCCTAAACCCCAACCCCCCCCCCCCCCCACCCCACCACACACAAAAAAAAAAAAAAAAAAAAAAAAATCCAGCCATGTTAAGGAACATGTGCACTGATCAAATGGTATACTGGACCTGCTGGGACACCTAACATTACTAGTGAGTTTGTTCGAGTCAACATACGCCATTGTCTAGAACTCTAGAAGAAAATACACTACATGTAAGTATGTAACAGTGCTCCCACCCAAATTTGAGATTTTTAAGACCCAGAGCCAGCAGCTAGTAGAGCTGAACACAGTTGTTTATCATGTCAATATATTTCCAATGTCTAGGAGGAATCAGAGTTATCAGACTACATGTATTAGTGCTCCTACCCAAAAAAAGAGACAACTAGGACCCTGAGCTAGCAGCTTATACAAATGAACACAGTTTTACAGATCAGCATGAATTGTTTTTAGTAATGTTATAGTACAATTAGTGTTTTGCTTTGATTAGGTACTTAACAAGGTCAGAATTAGAACCCTGAAGACTATAGGCAGTAGAGCATTCTTATCAAGATTTACTGGAAAGAATAAGTGATTATGAAATTTATGCCTAACATCGTATTATCAGCAAGTTATATAGGAAAAATACTATTGCAAGAATGAAAAAGACCTAAATTAGGTGCATCTAGCACTGTCAAAACGGTTTGACAGTCCGGTTTCGGTTCGGTTTGAAATCAGTTCGGATTGAAAACGGGTCGGTTTGAAATCAGTTCAAATGCCTTACGGGTCGATTTCGATTCGGTTTAAATTATTATCAGCTCAATTCGGTTTCGGTTTATTCTTGAGCGGTTTTAATTCGGTTCGGATTGTAAACGGTTCGGCGTAGATGGGTTACAGTTTGTTAACGGTTTAGTGTGGATGGTTTTTTATCCAAGCTCAAACGGTTTTGGGTTAAAAATGGTTCGGTTCTTTATCAGTTCGGGTTTTTTCAATTCGGTTCGTTAACGAGTTCGGTTCTTATACGGTTTAACATTATTCAGATCGGTTGGAATTAGGTTTACTAAAATACGGTTTGAGTCAGATTTCGATTTAAAAAAATCGGTTTTTAATCGGTTCGGTTCTCATTTGGGTCAGTTGGTTTCAAGCTAGAATTTTTCAAGCTTCTTTTTCAATTGATGAATTGATTAATAATATTCTTTATTATAATTTTTGTATTGACTTTAATTTGTTTTTGAAAGATCAAAGGATGCAATCATCTATTCTAAAAATTTTGAGAATTACAATAATACATCATAAGAATTTGATTAGGCCAGCTTTGGTCTAATATAATTCCGAGCACACTATGTAGCACTTTGATGATGTTGTTTAATGAGAAGACAAAGATTATTTTTTCTTAATCCTTAATTACATAAAAAAAAAGTCAGGAAAAACAATAATGTACTCCGTAGTAAACATTTGTGCATAATTAGATTACATATAAAATTCATTTTAACGTGATTTTAATCTTCCCTTATTAGTAAGCGGTTTGTAAACGGTTCGGTTCACAAACGATTCGGTTTATAAATGGTTCGGTTTGTACACAGTTCTTTGCAAACGGGTTGCGGTTTATTAACGGTTCGGTGTAGACGGTTTTTATCGCGATTCAAACGGTTTCGAGTTGGAATCGGTTTCAGGTTAGAAACGGTTCGATTCTTTTTCGGTCCAGTTTTATTTCAATTCGGTTCAGAACTGGTTCGATTCCTTAACGAGTTCAGATACGGTTTAACATTATTAGGATCGGTTTGGTTTTGGGTTTACTAAAATATGGTTTAGGTCGGTTTTCGATTTTAAAAAATCGATTTTTAATTGGCTCGGTTTTCATTCGGGTCGGTTGGTTTTGGGCAGTTAAACGGCTTCGGTTTGAAATTTGACAGTGCTAGGTGCATCCTTTCAATGTTTTGTTTGCTTTTGGCCTGTAGCTCATTTAGAACAAGAGAAATTTTTGGACCATTATCAATATAAAGTTATAAACATTCCTTTATCCTCATATTCAAACCATTGCTCCTGAGTTGATATGAAATGGTCTTCAGCCAAAAGGAACCAACTGTAGAAGTAAAGCAAATAAGCAATACCCTTCACTATGGAATCCTCCTTCGTTCAATTCAGGTTAACACAGGTTAACACTGATGCCTCTTTTATATCCCCCTCCCAACCCTTGTCTAGAAGCAGTATGTAGAGATTGCAAGGTGTGATGGACTGGTTCACTAGCCGGAGTCAAACCGGTCAAACACCCTTGTTGGTGTACTCGAGGAGGGAAAAGGGGAGAACAAAGGTCAAATCATCCAAGGTCAAAACAGCAACAAGGGAGCATAGGGAAGCATTCCTTTACTAGTTGACAAATTCAATCAAGAAGAA